GGTCTGAAAGATAGTTAGAGAACCAACCAATGGTGTGTTCTGAGAAACCGATTTCTGAGAGTTTATGACACAAGATGTTATGATCCACAGTGTCAAAAGCTTTAGACAGGTCTAAGAAAAGTGCAGCACAATAATCCTTAGCATCCAGTGCTTCAACAACATCATTAAGAACCTTCAGTGAAGCAGTGGTTGTGCTGTGTTGTTTCCTGAAACCAGATTGATGTGGAGGTAAGATGTTAAATGAGTCCAGGTAATTTTTGATTTGAGAGTTTATCAGTTTTTCTAGAACCTTGGCTAAAATGCAGAGTTTAGAGATTGGTCGATAGTTGTTCAGCGAGGTGGGGTCTCCTCCCTTCAGCAAAGGAAGAACAAAGGCTGTTTTCCAAGTGTCTGGGATGGAGTTTTGTCTTATGGAGAGATTGAAGATGTGGGTCACAGGGACTGTGATGATATGAGCAGCCAGCCTTAAGAAATAAGGTGGAAGTTCATCTGGACCTGCAGATTAATTTTTTTTTATATATATATTATTTATTTATTTCTAAATAACCCACAAATTGTAGGTTTTGTTTTATTGCTTTATTGTATTTTTGCCTATTTGGAGAATAATTGGTTTGTTGTCAATAATGTGGATGTTTATAAAGCATTCACGCTGTGGAAATCCGTTTGTAGACGACAGTTTTCGACACGTAACTTGTTCAATTATTTTTATGCTATTTCAACAATTCATAAATCAAATAGTTCAGCTCGTTCAGGATATTCCTGCTATGACTTTTGGCATTTGTGCAATTATTACTTTTTGAAATATTTATCTCTTTTGGCCATGTTTTTCTCATTGAACATGAATGAAGCTCTCCACATCCTGCAAACCGTCTGTGCTGTTTACAACCTTTTACAGCTAATTTCAGCTTTAGTTCTGGTTCAGCTGTCTTCAGCTTCTTTGTGCTTAATTTAGCTTTTTCCAGCAAATCTTCTGCTCCTTTCAGTTGCTTTCTGCTAATTTCTGCTTTTTATACTCCTCAGTTTCTTTCTGCTAAATTCAGCTTTTTTTACTTTCCTTTCAGATGTTTTAGGCAATTTTAGGCCATTTTTACTAAATTTTGCTTTTGTGATTCTTTAAAAAAAACTTCAGCTTTTTCTGCTTTTTCTACCCCTTTTTGCTAATTTCAGCTTTTCCAGCTACGTTTTTGGCTAATTTAATCTTTTTCTGCTCATCTGTTTCTTTTTGTTGCTAATTTCAGACTTTTTTTTTCAATCCAGTCAGCTTCTCTGCCTATTTCAGCTTATTCTGTTCATTTCAGCTTTTCCCACACATTTCTGCTGTTTTTCTACCGTTTTCCGCTTTTATTTTCCTGCTTTCAGCAAATGTCAGCTGTTCAAATTCAATTTGCATTAACAGTTTAGGGACTAAACTTTTTCAGCTGGTTTCAACTCACCATTAGGATTTAATATCATAATAAAACTTCCAGGTGCTTCTTCTTCACCTGTCAGGACGTCCTGTCAGAAGCATTAGACATGGATTAAACACTCACCTGCACACAGGTCACATTAATGACTGTTTTTTAGGGAACTGCTGGACAGCAGCATCTGCTTCTTACTCACAAACGCAACCTGGCCGCACAAATACACACTCCAGTGTGTTACTGCCTCTATCTGGGCCACGCGTCCCCGGAGTCCAAATCTATTATAAAGATCAAGAACAGCAGAGGGTGACTTATTTTAGGAAAAGTGTTGCTCCTTTTCTCCTTCACGTATCTTACACACACACAGAGGGCATGAAGCCACTTTATGTCTTTCCAACACATAAAAACACACCATGAGCAGGTTGGATTGGTGCATCACTCTCACAGCAGCTCAGCAATGTCTGTTTTCCTTTTTCTTGTCAGATTAAAATGTCCGTACGATGTGTCAGTGGAGCTGGCGGCATATTGTTTACAAGGTGAGTGTTTTTTTATAGTCAGTTTTGACACAAGTTACACCACTGCTATCCAAACTCCAACAGTTAATACGAATTTTATGTTAATTTAGTGTCATTAGAAAGTCGCAAATGTCTGTTTAAATTTTCCACTTTATTTTATTTTGTAGCATTGAAAAAGCTTTCTCTTGATAGTCACGTTTGGAGTAACTGGGATGGGAAAAAACACATTAAAAATTTTGTTTTATAGGAGTTTCTAACGAAACCAATGTTGTTCTCCTGCAGCTTTAGTTTTACAAAGATTTCCTTTGATGCAACATGAAGGAACGTTTCAGTTCCAAATTTTCCATCTCAAATGGGAGCTTTTATGAGTTTTATGATCATGGCTGAACGTAGTTTACCAGATGCAGCACGTAGAGCATTGGTCACTAATAGGTCTGTCAGGACCTGTGCCCATTAAATTCAGGAAAATAGCTGATTTTCATGGAGCATTTTTCCAACGATAGACAGCTTGGGTGCAGAGCCAAGCAGAGAAGCAGGAGGTGTGTTTTGGAGGTTCACTCTACTTCAGGTATTACGATAATAGCGTCACTCAGTTAATGAGACAATCAAATCTTGTTTTCCCTACACGGTGCAGCGAGGTGCAGGACGTTTTTGGTGCAGCGAGCTCTCGCCAAAGAAGAGTTGAGAAGGAGCAGAGAGGAAGAGACAGCATGTCGCGCTCCAAAATAAAAGTTGATGCTGAAAGATGCAGTTTTAAAGATGAACGGACAGAGAAATTAATGTTCATTCTTTCAGCAGGCGGTTCAAAACCTGTTTGCCTCATATGCTCCGAAACGGTCGCATTAATTAAAAGTGGCAACGTGAAGTGCTCTTCATCTCTTTTAAGCAATGTTATCTGCTAAAGTCAGAGCAGAGAGCAGTAAATTAACTGAACTGCAAGCTCAGTACAACAGATCCACCCTCCTTATCACAAATACTTTTGCAGCACAGCAGCGTGCTGAATGTTCACTCAAGGTATCGTGGATTTTGGGGCAACATAAACAAAAAAACATTTAGTGATGGGACAGTCCTCAAGGAGTGCTTAAATGTTGTTGCTGAGACATTTGATGGAAAACAAAAGGATGAGATGTGTGAAAAAATCAAACAAACCCCAATGTCAGCTTCAACAGCAAGCAGAAAATCAGAAATATTAGCAGATGATGTGTTGGCACAGCTGGATGCAGCTGTTCAGAGTCATCGATGAGGCTACTGATGCTCAGCTTCCTACATGAGAATGGCTCTGATTCCATTCTAACCAAGATTTCATTTACTGGCAGGACAACCTCATGTCTATTTATCCATTTATCTTATTAAGAAAAGTAAAATAAATAAGCCAAAGAGAAAAGGTGTTGTTAAATGCTCTTTTTTTAGTTTTTTTTCCTAAAAGAGCCATTTTTATTATTGTTTTCTTAAGTGTTTTACTTGAAAACTTACATTTTTATAGGTTGGTGCCTCTTTAAGCAAAAAAAAAAAAGAAAATCTTTACTTGCTCTGTTTACACTTTTTTATACTAAAAGAGACACTTTTTAAATTGTTTTTTAAAGATGTTAACTTTTTTACTTTACGTGTAAGCCTTCAGTTCTTTAGGCTTGGACCTCTTCAGTTTAAGAGAAACAAGCTTAGACTCTGTTTGCACATTGAAGATGTATTTTATTCTGAGCTTTCTGTTTTTATCTGAAATAAAGACCCTACATTTATTTGTCTGGGACTACTTTTAATTATGGAGCTAGTTGTTTACTATAAGGTGCAGTTTGTTAACGGTGAAGATGTGAATACTGGTAGGCAAGACCATAAAAGACAAACGTTGGACTTTCATTCGGACCTTTTACTAGGAGGACATTTTAGTACCTGGACCTCAGCGGTTTTAAATTGAATACCCCTGACGTAGAGTCATGCTGTCAGCGGCTTTAGGACTGCATGCTGTACTGACATGTTTTTTTGCACCTTCATCTCCTCTGCTGCCTCTGGAATGACCGTCCTCCGTTTGTGTTTGAACTGTTTGTGCTCCTCTCCCTGCAGGCGAGATGGGCGACTGCGACCCTTTGGAGCACTCTCCTGAGCTGGTGTCAGAGTTTCGCTTCACTCCCAAACAGAGCGAGGCCATGGAGGCGGACATCTTCAACAGGTGGCTGGAGCTCAGGTGAGGATGACCCATCACAGAGCAGTGCAACCTTCATCCTGCAAATTGGGACTCGTGAGCGTTTCCATACAGGCCGCTAATAAGCTAGCTACGACAATACTTCTGCTGTGTTCAAAAGCAGCTTACTGGAGGCCGTCCATTGACCGGCACCTTGACCCGAGCGAGCTCCCCTCCTTCGAGGATGAAGTGGGGCAGAAAGCTGAGCGCAGAGCAGCGAAGGAAGTCATCCTGTCAGCACCAGCGTTTTCTGCAGCCTCCTCTGCCTTGGCCTCCCCTATCACTAGTCTGTGTGAAGGATTATGGGATTAATCTCCGCAGGGTCTTGATTGATTCCAGGCAGTATTTAACCCAGCTGCACTCCGATTGCTCCCATCTAGGATTAGATTACACACACGTGCTGTTCGCTGCGCTTCACCGGGTCAGCAGAGTCACGACAGGGCGGCCTGGGTTTACCCGGAGCCTTACACGCCAGCCCACAACTGAGTCCGATAGTAACTCGCTTAACTCTTCAGTTACAGCTCCCAGCAAATGCCGAAGGACACAAAGCGTGCCGAATCAGCATTCACACTGCATTTTCTGTCAAAATGTTGTCTCGAGGTATTTTTATTGTTTAGGCTCAACTTTTACTCATTTGTTTATTTATTTTACCTTCAGGGGACAGAGCCCGTCGCAGGCAGAGATTTCTTTTCTCAACAAATGCAAGTGGCTGGAGCTTTACGGCGTAGATATGCACTTTGTCAAGGTGCGTGAGCGTTCGCAAGTTCCGGTCCATACGCCTTGTTGTGCAGTAGGAGGACTGAACGTGTGCACCGATGTGTCTTCAGGGTAGGGACGGAGGAGAATATGCACTGGGCCTTACTCCGACTGGAATCTTAGTTTTTGAAGGGTCCAATAAAATCGGGCTTTTCTTTTGGTGAGTATAATCGAATCAAATTTTATGTTTTTGTTGTGAAATTTATATCAGTTAAAATAAATATTAGTGCACAGTGGTTTTTCCAGCATCAGAGTCAGAGATTCTTAATTGTCATTCGCACCACATGTGGTACATATGGTGAAACAAAATTATGTACACAGAGTCCCGGTTACATCCAACAATAAAAATGTAAAATTAAAACAGTAATAAGTTCTAAGATATGAACTAAGAAAAACATCAACTAAAAATACACTAAGCACTAATAGCATAAAAACATTACGTCGAACAGCAGCACGAACATGAGTCTGTGTGAGTAGGTAAGCACGCATGAACACAGCAACATGAAACAAATCAGCAGCAACATTGAAACAGATCAGCAGCAACATGATGTGATTATTCTGGTTAGAAATTCATGAGTCTAACAACCTCAGGGTAGAAGCTGTTCCTCAGTCTAGTGGTTCTACACTTAATGCTCCTCAACCTCCTTTCTGAGGGGAGTGGGGCAAAAAGTGTGTGTGCTGGGTGAGTGGGGTCCTTCATGATGCAGGTGGCTCTCTTCCTGCATCTGGAGGTGTGAAATGTCTGTGATGGTGGGGAGACTGACTCCAACAAACTTCTGTGCAGCCTTCACCACTCTCTGCAAAGCTTTTTTCTCTGCAGCTGTGCAGCCAGATAAGACGATCTTCAGCTTTCTAACCTTGTTGCACATTGTTTGTTGCCATGGTAACGCAGTACATTACTCGACTTTAAACTCATCCAGGTTGAATAAATTACAACTGTGCAGATTAATTATGTAAGTGGTTTCCAGACAGTTAGTCCAACCATTTTTATAATTAAATAAAATAAAAAAAAACGGTCAACTTAAAGAACTGCTTTAAAATTATTTTTGTTTGATATTAAAGAAAGTAAAGATTTTGAGAAACTTGAAATGAAAGAAAATTAGTTTAGATTCTGACACATTAGTTGCCGGAAAGTGTTGGGGTTTTTTTTTTCTCTGTTTTTAATATTTTATATTGAACTATTGATTGATTATTTAAAAAAAGTGACTTGTGAATAAAATTCATATTTTTTTTGATTCATTCAACCTTTATTTATACAGGTTTAATCCCATTGAGCCTCTGGGACTCATTTACAAGAGAGGCCTGATTTTTTTAACAAAGAGTGATGACAACAGAGGACAACGACGACAAGAATAGACAATCATAAAAGAGGCATATAAATTTATTTATTTATTTTAAATTTTTTTTTTTACAAGTTAAAATAAAATGGGAACCAAAAGGACAGTCAAAAGGAAAAAGTAGTAAAAACAGCTAGATTATAAGGGTTTAAAATACACCTATTCATTGAAACTGTTTTATAAGTCAGTAAATTATATAGGGATGCTGAAGTGCGACAGGATGTGGATAAGAAAATGAGACATCCAGATAAGCCTTTAAAGCAACGCTCGCTGCTCTGACTCACTGAAACATGTGAAAACTACGCAGCGTGTTTAGTCTCGTGTCGCGGAGCCTCTGTCCCTCCGTCCGTTCAGGTTATGAGTGATAACTTGAAAAACAAGTGAGGTATTGACTTCCATTGTGGTGTGTTGCCACATCTAGCTTTAAGAAAGGTTCCTTTTGAAAAGAGGGTAGCCACATCAAAATTCAAGATGGCAACTACATTTGTATATATGTAAACCGGCCACCTCTTTCATTTGAGATAACTATACTTTATGTTTTTGCTTAAAAGTATAGTTTCCTCAAATGTCTGGGGTGGCCAAAGATTAATCTGTGGTGGCCACAGCCACCATTGGCCCCTCACTGGCTCCGCTATTGAGCCTGGTGGTGGATAAAACTGCTTCCTCCTCTCACTAGCATCCTTTACTCCGCGCCACCTTGAACAAGAAAAACAAACTCCCTCTGTTCTTCTCCACAGTGTAACTCCTACCCACTTGAGTATCGTGCACCAAAAACATTAAGGTTCACGTGCATTCTCTGTTCAATTCCAGTCCAGAAAAACACTTGTCTCGAAAATACAAACATTCACTATTCAAGTCCCTGAGCGACAGGGGACATCAGCTTGTCGTTTCATTGCTCATCTGTGCGTCTCGTTTTTTTATTTTTTATTTGCTCAGGCCGAAAATCACTCGGCTGGATTTCAAAAAGAGACGCCTGACGCTGATGGTGGTGGAGGACGACGAACAGGTTTGTGTTGACATATTTCTGAAGTTTGAGGCTAACATTCTCCTCATGGCTGACGATGAGCGTTTACATGTTTAAGGGTCGTGAGCAGGAGCACACCTTCATCTTCCAGCTGGCCTGCCCCAAAAACTGCAAACACCTGTGGAAGTGCGCCGTGGAGAGCCACGCCTTCTTTCGCCTGCGCCAGCCGACCGCAGGCAAAGCCAGCCACAGCGACTTCACCCGACTCGGGTCTCGCTTCAGATTCAGGTAGAGCCAAACCCACGTTGCCTTTTTCCTCTCAAAGCAGAATCATAATGACCGCTGGAGCGCCGCTGAGGACAAATAAAACCTCAGCCAGGTAGTTGAGGCCAGCGCTCGTTAGCAGCATATGGGGAGTTATGTGTCGCATAAAACAGATCCTTCGTATCTATGGTTACTGTGTATCTATGGTTACGTGGATCTGTTCCTATGGTGACTGAGACGTTCCCCTCATATTGTTTGTTTGTCTTGTGATTATTATCAGAGATGGTCAAAGTGAATTCTCACACTTGAAGGCCACTTCCTGTCAGTTGTGGGAGCAGCTGGATCAAAGCTGCGTGCGTCCTACAGGTGGTGGAGCTACAAACACTTCAGCAGCCTTTAGCGCCGTTTAAACGGGTTTCAGCCATTAACAACTTGTTGTTTCTTTAAAAACTGGCCTGATGGAGGATAATTTCTCATTTTCTTTTCATATTTTGGTTTAAAAAATAAAGGAAGAATGAAAGTACAGGATGGCATTTATTCTGTTGTATTTTACTTAAACTCGCTGCCAAATCTCAAGTGATTCATCGTCACACACAATTCTTACTAAAATTAAAAGAAAAGCTCAATAAATTATTATTATTATTGGGAACTTTTGTCAAAATGTTTTAAACTAAGCTAGGATTCTTTGCATGAAGATCTTAATTCCTCAGAGTAGATGTTGGGTATGACTCTCAGCAACTACCACAACTTTAGTTAAACATCTACAAAACTGACCAAGTTATAGCTAGGCATGTCGCAATAAACGATAAATCAATTAATCGCATGATAAATGAAAATTATCAACCTCATTTTCATTTATCGGCTTTATTGTTTCTTTGTCTCTCTCTTTCTACTGAAGACACTGGATGACAAAAAGTTCAACTCCAGTGATCTTCACTGACCCCTCCCTTTCTCTTTTTTCTCTTTTCTTTAAAATCTGTTTTAACCGTCCAAAATCGCATTTTTGTATAGTTAAAAGCAGCTAAGAAGCTAAGCTACGAGCTAAACTAACAGGCCGACCTTGAGAAAAAAAACCTCTGTCTTGTCGAAGCTCCAACATTCACAGTTGAAACCTGTGCCTTCATCTAAAAAGTTGTTTTTCTTTGCAAAAAGAAACTGAGAACTTGTTTCCTGATTTTTTTTATTAAAAGCTTGGTGTGAAAAATGCTATGCCAAAGAGCTCAAACCACATCGAGCGTCTGCCATTTTGAGAACTGACGAAAGACAGCCCATGTCACGTCAAGGGGCTTCCCTCCCATTTTTCTTAAAGTGAAACACTGCTTGCTCCCTCACTATCCATCCTTTGGTTCAAACAGTCTTATACTGCCATCCGGTGGTCAAAAAGGTAACACGCAAAATAAATTAACAAAACATTTCTTCTTAAATTTGACAATAATTACTATTATTGTCAAAGTTCAAAGAATATTATCATTTATCGCAATAATTTCTGAGACAATTAATCGCCCAGCATTATTTATTATGACAGGCCTAGTTATAGCGCTTTGTGTGTTTACTAAGGCCAGTAAGCCATAGTGGCCATCTTGAATCAGGTTGATAAACTCCCAAAGATTGTTTTGAGAATTTCATTAAAAAAATATTTTGTGGTTTTTGAAATATTTTGCTAACAGATGGACAGGCAAACACATTCACTTTCAGGCAGTCACATTTTCCCCCTCGTTTTATGGTGGCAGGCAATTATTAACCTTCCCAAAGCCATTCACATGAACTGCGTTCTTGGCTTTACCTAAACGTTTGGAATAAAAACAATTAAAGTTGATTTCCATTCTTTAAGCTCGTCTGTTTGTCTGTCTCAGTGGAAAGACGGAGTATCAGGCCACTCACGGCGGCCGGGTGAGGAGAACCAGCACGTTTGAGAGGAGGCCGAGCAAGCGGTACCCGTCGCGCACTCAACACTTGCTGGGCAAAGGTGAGCCTTATCAGCAGCGCACACAGAACACCGATGACTAACCGCACCTGTTTTGTCCTTCATGCACCTTTGCTGCGTCACACGCTGCTTTACTTTGCCACCTGAAATTTGCTGTACCCTAACTCTGGGGGTGGGGGTCATCCTGTGTCACCTCTATCCCTTTCATAGGTTCGCTTTTCAAAACGTCTCAGATCAAGTGGGGCAATGTGACAAGTTCAATGGTCCTAAAAACAGCTCCGGTCTTTCTTTCTTTCTTTTTTAAAGAAAGCTCTGAACTCCAGGCTATTAAGTGTTAGCGTCACCTTCCTGCTTTGTCTGCCGCACTCTTCACTCCTCCATAACTCCCACCTTCTGTGAGCTGCAGTGGTCTGACAGCTTCAGCAGCAACAGCATGGCTTTAATTCATGCCACATATATTCTTATATATATTCACATAAAAGGCTGCCCATGTGTTTAGAGTTCAAACGTCTTTCAGCCTTAACCTTATTTATTCAGAATGGGATACATCTTATTAGCATCTGATTAAGTGTATTTTTTGTATAAATAAAGCAGCATTCTGTAAATATTTTTTAAGTCTTGTTTTAACCATAACTAATAAAAAATTAAGCAAACAACATTTTTAGACTTCAGCATACGGCACTTAATAAACATTGCACTGTTTGGTCATACAAACAAAGGGTTTGTGTTAGTTGCACATTTGTTGCCCCAAACCTTCGCAAAATAAATTAAATAAGGAGGAATAAGTAAACGATACAAAAAAAATAAAGAGTTGGTAGCTTTTAAAAATATGTTTTTGTTTTATGAAAGATTCCTTTAAACACGTTTTACCGCATGAGGTTTATAGTGAGGCAAGAAACATTTCTAAAAATACACTATCAACTGAACCTTCAGCCTTTTTAATGTCCACCAAAATCCATAATTTCAAGGTTTTCTTTTCCCTCAGTTTATAACGTGTCTGCAAAGATCTGGACTGACTCATAGAAAACAAAGACATGTGATGAATTGTTTTCTCTACTAACATTTGCTGTATCTCTCCGTCAGCTGCTGTTTCTCCAGCCAAGCCTCCACACATCAGGTAAAACAGCGCACACGTAAATCACTTCCTTAAGGCGGTATCTCACTGGGCTGCGGTTGTTGGGACACAGGGCGGGCGGTGACTCAAATTTGTGGGAAAATTCAGAGGAAGTTTGTGAATTTTCCGTCACTGAACTTTTGAGTGTTAGCCACTGAACGACCAGCAAGTCGTGCATTTGAAAGTCACGGCTTATTTTCATGCACGCAGATCATAAAACTGCATTTCTCAGCCAGGCACATTTGTTTGTTGCCCACAATTGTTGGCAATCGCCCCTACATTTAGGATTTATTTCATTTATTTATCTGTGACACTGCACTCAAGCCACTGTAACGTGTTAGTATTTCTAGACAACTGATTTCTGATCCTTGTCCACCAATAAAGCACATCCAAATGCTACTTGTATTCATAACACATCATCACTATGACATATCTTAAGTAGACAAATTAAAAATAGAATATGTTCAAAACTCCTGCACATGGAAAATAAGAACCTACAAAACATTGCGACTTCCTCATGAGTGCTGTTCCCCAACTGGTCACGGCCCAGCAAGATATTCCTCCTGAAATAAGAACCTATTATTTATATTTACTCTTTAGCCCATAAATTTGATTTTAATTCTGATTTAATTTGACCTAAAATACAAAAAACACAATTTTTAATCTTTTTTTTAACATTCAGATATTGTTTGCCATTTTTTTTGTTAGTGATTGTTGATGTTGTTTTGCAGCTCTCATGCCAGCCCTAATCCCAGCCTGCATGCGGTGAGTAATCCTAGATGACCCTCGTTCTCACACACACACACACACACACACACACACACACACACACACACACAC